TCCTGTATGCCACAGCTAAAAGTTCCCACATGCCACAACGAAGATCAAAGATTCTGTGTGCCCCCCTCCACAAGCAGCCAAATAATAAATATTTTAAAAAATAAATAAATAAAGGTGTCCCTGCGCGCATGCTCAGTCGCTTCATTCATGTCCAACTCTTTGTGACCCAGTGGACTGTAGCCCCCCAGGCTCCTCTGTCCATGGAATTCTCCAGGCAAGAATACTATAGTGGGTGGCTCTTCCCTTCTCTAGGGAAGAGATCTTCTTGACCCAAGGATTGAACCTGAATCTCCCACATTGTGGGCATATTCTTTACCGTTTGAGCTACCAGAGGCGCCTGTAACACACTTTAGCCAGAGGAAATACACTTTACCGCTTCTGAGTGCCAAAGAATTGATGCTTTTGAACTGTGGTGTTGGAGAGGACTCTTGAGAGTCCCTTGGACTGCAAGGAGATCCAAACAGTCCATCCTAAAGGAAATCAGTCCTGGGTGTTCATTGGAAGGACTGATGTTGAAGCTGAAACTCCAATACTTTTTCCACCTGATGCGAAGAGCTGACTCATTTGAAAAGACCCTGGTACTAGGAAAGATTGAGGGCAGGAGAAGGGGACGACAGAGGATGAGACGGTTGGATGGCATCACCGACTCGATGCACGTGGGTTTGGGTGAACTCTGGGAGTTGGTGATGGACAGGGAAGCCTGGCGTGCTGCAGTTCATGGGTCGCAAAGAGTTGGACACGACTGAGTGACTGAACTGAACTTACCCAGATGTGCAAGTGTTAATTATAGCATTTAAATTTTTTCAGAGGCAGACTCCTTACCCCAAAGAAATGTGAACTCTAACACAGGAGAAAGTGAAGAGCTCCCCACAGAGGTGGCTGACTTTGAGTGTGCCCTTTGCATGAGGTGTGGTGACATAGCATCTACACTACTGTGAAAAATCCAGCCTTTCTGAATTTTGTGTCCTAAACCTAATGGGCTTAAAAAAAAAATTATTTGTTTTAATTGGAGGATAATTACAATATTGTGATGGTTTTTGCCATACATCTGTATGAGTTGGCTGTAAGTATACCTGTGTCCCCTCCATCCTGAAACTCCCTCCTGACTCCCTCCCACCTCATTCCTCCAGGTTGTCACAGAGCAACGGCTTTGGGTGCCCTGCTTCATGCATCAAACTTCCACTGGTCATCTGTTTTACATCGATCATGTATATGTTTCAATGCTGTTCTCTCAAATCATCCCACCCTTTCCTTCTCCCACTGAGTCCAAAAGTCTGCTCTTTACCTCTGTGTCTCCTATTGTCAGAGAAATTACATACACCTCAATAACAATTGCTTTATTTTCTAAAAATCTGATAAGGAAGATAAATATGGAAAATGGGTATAAACAGATTCTTTGAAAGTCTACTGTGGACGTGTCTTGCTGAAAACCCAGATGTTTCTGCAGGTTGCTCTTTGAACCTGTGACTATGCCCTGTGGACACACGTTTTTGCCTGAAGTGCCAGGAGCGCTGCCTGGACCACGCTCTGCGTTGTCCCGTGTGCAAAGAAAAACTTTCAGAAGTAGGTATTTCTCTGGAAAAGACTTATCCACGTGTTGTAGGAAGGGGGAGGCCCCCTACAGGCCCCAAGAGCGGGCTCTTATCTAACACTCAGAAAAGAATTGTCTGAGGAGACACGTGCTGACAAAGCAAGAGATTTTATTGGGGAAGGGCACCCGGGTGGAGAGCAGGAGGGTCAGGGGACCCAGGAGAACCGCTCTGCCTCGTGGCTCGCAGTCTCGGGTTTTATGGTGATGGGATTAGTTTCCGGTGGTCTTTGGCCAATCATTCTAATTCAGAGTCTTTCCTGGTGGCGCACGCATCACTCAGCCAAGATGGATGCTGGCAAGAGGGATTCTGGGAAGTGGACGGACACGCGGTGTCTCCTCTTGACCTTTCTCGAACTCTTCCAGTTGGTGGTGGCTTATTAACTCCGTATTCCTTATCAGGATCTCCTGTCATAAAACAACTTACATAAATGGTTACTATGGTGCCTGGCCAGGGTGGGCGGTTTCAATCAGTGTGCTTCCCCTAACACTGGCAGTTTTAAAATTTGGCCTCCACCTTCTTTCCCTTCACATGCAGCTTTTAATTCCTTGGTGCCTTAGCTCCCATTCTCAGTCCTGACAAAGTCAGCTCTTTTTGCTTTTGTATGTGTCTGTATAAGTAGAGAGCAAAGCTAGAGTCAACCCACAAAGTAGGGAAGATTAAATTTCAGTTGAAATTCATAATCTTAAATCTGAGACTTGAAACACCATTAGTCATTTTTGCTGTTCTTCTCCAGTAGCTTCAGCTTTTCACCCTCCAAGGCTATTGTTTGATATTTCTCTTGTCTTCCACCACCTGCTACTCACTCCCTGACCTGATTCTCCATGGAGAGTATAGACAAACGCCAGCAAGATGTTAATTGCCTCTTCCTCCAGGCAAACCCTGTCTGCTGAGCTGCTTTCCTGGGGGAGGGACAGCCCGCCCCTCCCTCACAGGGCTGACCTTCCATCTCTCTCGCCTCAGTTCCTTTGTCTTCTGAGACCCCAGCTCCCTACAAAAGAGAGCCCTTTTTCTTTAAGCATTGATTGCCATAGGGCCTTCCTTTGGTGGTGCAATGGTTAAGACTTAACCTTCCCCTCCAGAGTGTGTGGGCTCCATCCCTGGTTAGGGAGCTAAGATCTGACATGCCTTACAGACAAAAAAACAAACGCAGAAACAATATTTTTACAAATTCAATAAAGACTTTAAAAATGGGTCACGTCAAAAAAAAAAAATAAAGAAAAATCTTGAAAAAGAATTAAATACCAGGAAGTATTATTTAACTTTGTTTTGTTATGGTTGTTGGCAAGCAGAAATTTTAATACAACTGCTCTGGTCGAAGAATTAATATTTCGGTATTTCTCAGATGAGCTGTCTGACAGAGAATCTACGATGAAGGAATGACAGAGCTGTCACAGTAAGTCCTCACGCTCTAGGTACTTCGTGCTGCATGGAGGTTAAAGAAGAAAATCCTGGCTAACCTCACAGCTCTATCTCAGTTTTTTTACCCCCTCTTTGGCAGAGAAATTGGCCTCAAAAAAGAAAAAAAATTAATTGCAAAGAGTTTATGGAATTTAATTGAAGAAGATTGTAAGAAATATTCCAAAAATGTGTTTTGACAAAATCATATAGTTGCTTTTATATATATATATATATATATATATAGTTGCTTTTTATGTCTAAATAAGCAATACTGAATTTTTCAGAACTGAAAAGGGACAGTTCATTAAAAACAGAAGGTGTTTGAAAACGGGCTTTTTCCCCCTCAAAATAGGTTTGACAGTTGTTTTTTTCCTTTTAAAGTGATTAAAGTTTTGTGTTGTAGTGATCTGTAAGTGTTGAGATCTTATCATTCTTCTAGTCTTTTTTATTTATTAGTAGATTCATCACTTTTGACATCTGTCAGTTTTGCTTTCATCAGAATTTTTTCTTACTTATTTTTCTTGTGATGTAACTGACGTTTAACATTATACTAGTTTTAGGTGTACAAGAGAGTGAGTTGATATTTGTGTATATGGTGAAATGATCACCATAGTAAATCTAAGTTAACATCTGTCTCCAAAGTTACAATATTTTTATTGTGATAAGAGCTTTTTAAGGTTTATTCTCTTAGCAACTTTTAAATATGCAATACAGTAGTATTAATTATGGTCACCATGCTGTGCATTGCATCTCCAGCACTTGTTTATTTTATAACTGGAACTTTGTGCTTTTTGACCCCCTTCACGGATTTCACACACAGATACACACACAGACAGACACATATACATACACAGATATACACAGACACACACACCCACTACTGGTAACCCTGCCTGTCCTCTATATCTATGAACTTGGTTTTGTTTGTTTTTAGATGCCATATATAAATGAGATCATATAGTTTCTGTCTTTCTGTCTGACTTACGTCACATAGCACTGTGCCCTCAAGGTCATGAGAATGTGTTCATAGTGATCTTAAGCATGTTCTCTCATTAGATTAAATAAGAGGGCTTGCTGAGAACTTTCTCATGCTGTGACTGTTGACTTTCTTCTCCCACCGAAGGCCTAGGCAAGCCCGAGGGTTTTGTCATTAAGGGAACCACAGTTGTCATGCCCTTCCGTGTCTGACAGCTCCCACATCTAGTTAACACTCCTCTTACCCCGCAGTCTGACCAGAGATGTGCCCATCTTTGCATGCACCATGGCCTTCCCCACTGTGCCCTGCCTGCTCCACGTCTTTGAGCCCCACTATTGGCTTATGATATGAAGATATTTGGAAACGGGCACCAAATGTTTTGGCATGTGTTTATCTGCTGAGCACGCAGGGTAAGAATGATCAGTATTCAAAGAAAAGGTTCTGGGGACTTCCCAGTGGTTAAGACTCCATGTTTCCAATGCAGGGGATACGGGTTTGATTCCTGGTTGGGGAAATAGGATCTCACATGCTGTGTGGCGAGGCTTCCCTGGTGGTTCAAATCGTAAATAATCTGCCTGCAATGTGGAGATCTGGTTTTGATCCCTGGGTTGGCAAGATTCCCCTTGAGAAGGAACAGCTGCTCACCCCAGTGTTCTTGCCTGGAAAATCCCATGGACAGAGGAGCCTGGCGGTCCAATCCATGGGGTCACAAAGAGTTGGACAGGACTGAGTGACTAACACTATGTAATTGTGAACATGCTGGGTGGTACAGCCAAAAGATTAAAAAGAGGAGGGGGCTTATAATTAAATGCATCATTTTTCATTTTTCTTGGAGAACAACTTAAGATGATGTTGGTAATCTCTAGTGGCTCCTATTACACAACGAAGTATAAGCCTGGGGTCATCTGTGTTGTGACTCCACCTTTCATTCTAGTCTCGTCTCCCATGCCTTCGCCTTGAACATCACACCTGCTGATTCTCAGCTGTCTGTCCCACCAGGATCTCGGAGTACGGCTGCATACTGGAGGTCAAGGATGTCAGGACATTCCCCGACGGCAGCTCTGTTGTTGACACCTCGGGGATCAGCCGCTTCCGGGTGGGTTTTGAGTCACCGTCACAGAGACGGCTACAACACAGCGGACATTGAATACTTGGAAGATGAAAGGGTGAGTAGTCACCTGCAGTGCCAGCTCCGTCTCCTCTCCAGCCGCTCTTTCTGCTCACCTGTGGGCACCGGGCCTCACGAGCCAGAGGGCAGAATGCAGGTGAATGGCAAGGTCTGGGGCACAGGGAGCTGGTTTGAAGATGATGACTGAGTGTGGTGGCTCTCGGGTTCCTCTTCTGTTTTTGTTGTTGTTTAGTCACTAAGTTGTGTCTGACTCTTTGCAACCCCATGGACTGCAGCACGCCAGTCTTCCCTGTCCCTCACCATCTCCTGGAAGTTGTCCAAGTTTTTGTCCATTGAGTCAGTGATGCCATCCAACCATCTCATCCTCTGTCGTCCCCTTCTCCTCCTGCCTTCAATCTTTCCCAGCATCAGGGTCTTTTTCAGTGAGTTGGCTCTTCATATCAGGTCACCAAAGTATTGGAACTTAAGCTTTAGTATGAGTTCTTCCAAACAATATTCAGGGTTGATTTCCTTTAGGATTGACTGGTTTGATCTTGCTGTCCAGGGGACTCTTCTCCAACTCCACAGTTTGAAAGCACCAATTCTTTGGTGTTCAGCCTTCTTTATGGTCCAACTCTCACATCTGTACATGGCTACTGGAAAAACCATAGCTTTGACTATACAGATCTTTGTTGGCAAAATGATATCTTTGCTTTTTAATCAAATTAAGAATGGTTGTATGTTATAATATAGTTCCAGAGTCTACCCCAGTTTCATAAATGCTATACTCTTGCAGTCAGGAAGGACCTTAGTGGTTTATTCCCATTTTACAGATGAGGAAGTTCTACCCAAAGGCAACTGAGCAACCAGCTAGCATTCCCACATGAGAGGCAGGGAGGAAGCCAGCACAAACCCGGGCCCATGGCCCCTGCCTGGAGCTGTTTCTGCTCAGTGTTCCTATGTAGGATGGAGCCTTGCTGGGCAGTGAGAGGGGCCCAGGCAGCAGGGTGTGTCTTTCTGAAGCTGTAGGATCTCCCCTGGCATCAGGCTTAGGCCATGAGTGCACTGTTGCTGTAGCATATCTCTTGAAATATAGTTTGGGGGCATGGAATACAGACTTTAAACTGCTGTAACTCTTTGACTTGAACTCCCCTGGTGGCTCAGTGGTAAAGAATCTGCCTATCAGTGCAGAAGACAAGGGTTCCATTCCTGGATTGGAAAGATCGCCTGGAGAAGGAAATGGCAACCCACTCCAGTATTCTTGCTTGGAAAATCCCATAGACAGAGGAGCCTGGTGGGCTATAATCTGTGGACCACAAAGAGTCAGACACGACTAAGCAACTAAACAACAACTCTTTGACTTGGTAATTCTGCTTCTGGGAATCTATCCTGAGGCAATGATAGTCCCTTTTCAAGCACATATGAAAAAAGCCAGTTTGCATAATTACTTAATATTATTTGTGTTATCTTATTAATAAAATACACCTTATGTGAATGGTTGAATAAATTGTGGTATATTTCAGATGTAGGATTGCATGTAGCCATTAAAAATGATTCCTAATAATATCAGATACATCTTTATATTGAGATATTAGGAGAAATGTCTGGGTGTTGCTGATGGACATGGGGTAGATTGAGCCCCACTGTGTAAGAGTGCAGGATTCTGCATGGAGCTTGTGTACCCATGTGTGTGTGCTGTCCTGTCCCATCTCTGCACCCCATGGACTGTAGCCCGCCAGGCCCGTCTGTCCATGGGATTTCCCAGACAAGAACACTGGAGTGGGTTGCCATTTCCTTCTCCAGGGGATCTTGCCGACCCAGGGATGGAACCCACATCTCCTACATTGGCAGGCAGATTCTTCACCAACAGCGCCACCTGTCCCTTTATGAAAGGCTAATGAATTACTGGAGTGCTGAATGCGGGGAATGTGCTCAGCAGACGTGGCCTTGGTCACTGTGTGATGGACACGTAAGTGTGCTAATGAATCGCTGAAAAGGCTGTCTCTCTTCCTTGACGAGGTGGAAGGCCCAGGGTACGAGGGGCTCGGCATGCTGCCCGACCCAGTGTATCAGCAGCCTGTGTCCTGGCTCGCCTCACTGCAGGATCCTGCGAAAGAGCAGACTTCAAGCCACTTTGGGTTAATGCCAGACAGAGAACCTGAGCCTCAGGTCTGTCGTGCGGCGTTCTCTCACGGTGCTGATGTCTCCTGCCATCGTGTGCTGAGACGTCACAGCACAGCGGAGCGTGGCAGTCCTGCCCTGCCACCTGCTCCATCACGTCCGTGATGGAGCACGTTTGTGAGCCATTTGTGAACCATGTCACGTATCAACATCCCAGAGAAGCACCTGGTAGAGTAGCATGTGCCTTGTGGAGCAAAAATGATAAATGCTACGTGAAGGTAATTTGCTTTCTGTCAGAAATCAGTTTACTCTGGTTGGCTGTCCTCTCTTGTACTTCTCTCACCAACATCAGCAGGTTTGGTAACTGCCCTCCATCAGCAAGACAGACTCCATCTTTTGTACCTAATCCTGCCTTACCCCTAATGAACGGGTGTTGAATAAATGAGAAAATTCTCTGTCATTAATTTAGAAGCTTTCCTAGTCCTCTGTCCCATCTTCACAGGCTTTCTCTCTGCTCCCAGGCATGCTTCAGTGATGCTGGCTTTTTTTTTTTCTTATTTATTTATTTTTATTGAAGTATAGTTGATTCACAGTGTTGTTTACACAGCAAAGTGATTTAGTTATACCTATGTATACATTCTTTTATTAGTGTTCTTTTCTGTTATGGTTTATCATAGGATTTTGTTTTTATTGGAGTATAGTTGCTTTATAATGTTATGCTAGTTTCTGTTGTACAACAAAGTGAGTCGGCCACGTGTATACATACGTCGCCTTCCTCTCCCCTGGCATCCCACCCCTCTAGGTCATTGCAGATCATCGAGCTGAGCGCCTGTGTTATATCACATTCCCACTAGCTACCTATTTTTACACATCGTAGTGGGTATATTTCAATGCTACTGTCTCAGTTTGTCCCTCCCTCTCCTTCCCGCTCTGTGTCCACAATTCTGTTCTCTACGTCTGCTCCTCTATCCCTGCCCTGCAAATAGGTCCATCAGTACCATCTTTCTAGATTCCATGTACATGTGTTAATATACGGTATTTGTTTTTCTCTTTCTGACTGACTTCGCTCTGTATGATAGACTCTAGGTTCAGCCACATCACTCCAAATGACCCAGTTTTGTACCTCTTATGGATGATTAATATTCCGTTGTGTTTCAGTGATGAACAGTCTTCAGGTCTGTGAAGCATTGCTAAGTGCAAATAGCTTGTCTCCCCTGCATTTGGACGACAGAGCCAGGAGGGGATGGTGCGGGCTTGTGACTGAGAGCCTGTAGCTCCCCCGGCTGTGCCCACTTACCTGTCCTGGAGACAGGGGAGGGGACAGGGCCAGGTCTTAGCAGGTTTAGGGTCAGATGAAGTGTCTTTGGTATTGTTTCCATCAATTTTCCTTTCTTTCCATGTCTCTTGATGGCTTGTATCTTTTACTGTCATGTGAGTTCTGTCCTTTCCAAGCCCAGGAAAATGCTTTCGGTCAAAAATCACCCTCAGGCATTCCTCACCCTCTGCTCTATTATAATCTCTGCGCCTTCTCTGTTTTGTAGCTCAGATTCGGAAAGCAAGGTGGTTAGGCTAGCTTGATGACAGTATGAATTATCCTTTTTTTCTAGGTGTTTTTGCTTATTAACCCAAATTTTTCTCTAATTGTAACACACTGCATGATTGTTCTGGCTTAAAAACAACAGAAATTTATTATTGTACAGTTTGGGGTTAGAAATTGCTCACAGATCTCTCCAGGCTGTGATCAAAGTGACGGCAAGACTTGATTCCTTGCTGGAGGCTCTGAAAGGGAGTCGGTTTCCTCCCCTTCTCTGGACTTGACAGGTTACAGTTCCTTGGCTCTGGCCCCTTCCTTCCTCCAGGACAGCAGTGTTGACCTCTGACCCTTCTTCCATAATTCACAACCCCCTCTGACCACAGCCCAGAGCAGCTCTCTGCTGGAAGGACTTTGTGATGAGGTTGAACCCACCAGGAACAATTCAGCATCATCTCTGCACCTCTCCAGGTCCCTGACTCACTCATATCTGCAGGGTCCCTGCTGCCATGTAAGCTGCCTAGTCACGGGCTTCGGGAACCAAAAGGTGAACACCTTTGGGAGACTGCCTGTCTTCCCACTGTGGAGGATTTTAGGTCCTATGTGGGAGGTATTTTGATGCTGAAAGTGAAAGTGTTAGTCACTCAGTTGTGTCCAACTCCTTGCACCCCCATGGACTGTAGCCCGCCAGGCTCCTCTGTCCATGGGATTCTCTAGGCAAGAATACTGAAGTGGGTAACCATTCACTTCTCCAGGGGAATCATCCCTACCCAGGGATCAAACCTGGGTCTCTTCCATTGCAGGCGGATTCTTCACCGTCTGAGCGACCAGGGAAGCCCCTTTATGCTGAGGCTTTCCCACTAAGCCTGCTGCTCAGTTTCTCCCTACTCTGTAAAGTGAGGAGAGAAGAGAGTATGGTGTTTTGTCCAACAGCTGTGCTGTCTTCCCTTGGAGGGGAGATGGGTGCCTTCTGCACGGTGACCTGGGCTGCCCACTTTGACCTTGGTGCCAACTTCATCTCTTACCCTGAGCTAAGGTGAGCCCAGAGCCACCCTCCCCAGTTCCCAGTTTGGATTCTGCTTGCTTCTGGAGTGGGGATGGAGGAGAAGCAGAGAGACCTGGGTATATTGGTTTCAGTTCCAGGAATGTTGAAAACAACTCTGTAGTTACCTTTTGCTCAGAGCTCAATCCAGAAGTGCCTGTTTGGCTATGAAATAAAGGCTATCAGGTGGCATAATAATTCATATATATATTTAATAGTAACTCATTAAATGGGCTTCCCTGGTGGCTCAGTTGGTAAAAGAATACGCCCGCAATGCAGGAGACCTGGGTTTGATCCCTGGGTCAGGAAGATCCCCTGAGAAGGAAATGGCTAACCATTCCAGTATTCTTATCTGGAAAAGTCCATGAACAGAGGAGTCTGGTGGGCTACAGTCCATGAGATCACAAGAGTCAGACACGACTTAGCAACTAAACCATGATACCACACATATATATATATACATTTAACAGTAACTCATATATATATATAGCTATTTCATATATATGTATATTTGTCTCATTGACTTTATTGTAAGATTTATAACAGTCAAATTTGTACCTACACTGTTTCTTTATAAACATTTTGCTTTGTAGAGCATGTTTAGAAAACTAACAGAACATTGGAAAGTAGAGATAAAAATTATGATTGCTTCTTCTAATGGGCCATAGACTTTGAACTAGAGCTTTATTATTATTAATTTGGCTGTGCTTGGTCTTATTAGTTGTGGCATGTGGGATCCAGTTCCCTGACCAGGGATTGAACCCAGGTCGCCTGTATTGGGAGCATGGAGTCTTAGTCACTGAACCACCAGGAGAATCATGAACTAGAGCTTTAAGAGAATAAGAACAACTAATTCATGAAACATTTTCCTGTGGAAGATGCATCTCTTGGCAGGTTCTTCCTTTTGTGAATTTCCCCCATTTAAGTGTGTAACATACAAGTAAGCTTCGTCAGGGCTTCTCTGGTAGCTCTGCGGTAGAGACTCTGCCTGCCAGTGCCGGAGACACGGGTTCGATCCCCGATCCAGTAAGACCCCACATGCCATAGACCAGCTAAGCCTGTGTGCCCCAACTATTGAGCCTGTGCTGTAAAGCCTGGAAACTGCGACTGCTGAAGCCTGTGCACCCTAGAGCCCATGCTCCACAAGAGAAGCCACAGCAATGAGAAGCCTGTGCACTGCAACCAGAGAGTAGCCCCCAGTCTGTGCAACTAGAGGAAAGCCCACACACCAGCAAGACCCAGCCCGCCAAAAATAAATAAATAAATGATAAAAAGCTTTTTAAAAAGTAAGCTTTGTGCTTTAGGGCTGCATGAATGGTGCGGTAGACCTCAGAGAGAAGGCAGCATTTAATTCTTGCTCGTGTTGATGGGACAGGAGACCACATTGAGAATAGGTTTCTACTTGAGGTGCTAATTTTGTCTTCCTTTCTTTTGCAGAGTAACCCTAGTGGTCCCGCGTGGTCCTGGTGGATGCTGGTGGTGTTGCCGTTGGAGCAGAAGGCTCAACTGGCCATACTGGGCATGATCTCGCTGAAGGAGCACCTGCTTGCCATTAGGCGAATATTAGTCATCATCATGCATGAGATGAATAGCTGGCAAGAGCTTGTTAATAGCAGGGAGAGAAACAGTTGATTTCTGTCAAGGTTTCTGGAAGGATTTGAGTTTTTATGAGGTATGCCAGGCATGGACAAGTTAACATCCATCCATCATGCTTTGTAAGATGCTTGTGGATAGGATTCCAGAATGGAACACTTGGCAGATGTTGTCTCCTACTCAGAAGTTAAGTATGTGCTAGATGGAATCTGACTCCGTACAAGGTGAGCCTGAAATCTGAATGGATCCCATGGTTGGAAAACAACCTAAAAAAAATCTCTCTGGAACAGATGCCCCAGTGCTCAGTACACTAAAGATGATTGACGAGTGGTTTAGGTTTTGCCAGAAAGAAGATTGCCTTCCCAGTGAAGTGTCTTGCTCCTCCAGATGGGAACAGCTCGCTTGGGTGGGTGGATAGGAAGAAGGACACTGCCCTGTTATCTGGAAGCATATTTTTCAGAGTCTGGGCTAGCTGGAAACATGCTTATTAGGCTTTGTCTGTCACTGTGAAATGGAGGAGTCAAACTGTTGTTCAGTGTGGGGGGTGAAGTTAGTCTTATCTAAGAAGTAGCATAGAAGCAAATAGAGCTGTATTTTTGTGTCCTGCAGTAGTTCAAATGTGGCAAATTGCATATTTTAAATAAATGAATATCAAAATATAAGAAGGTATACCTTTGATGTAAAAAGCCTGAAAACAGTGTAGTTGATTTGAGGATGTGTATTTGTGCGTGTGCACACCCACACAATACAGGATGAATAAAGGGAGCTAAAACTCGACCCATATTGGGATGTTAAGAATACAACCAAAATAGTGCAGAGAACCCCTTGGAAACACAATGTCTTATTAATTCAGTGGGTGTGAAGCATTTAGAAAATGTCATGTTTCTACTCAGATCGGCATTAGATGTTAGACCCATCAGTAAATTTGAGCTCACTGTCCATTCACTGATAGACATTAAAAAACTGCTATGAATTCAGTATCTATTTATCCCAGGAAAGCATACCAGGACAACTTACAAAGAGAGGGAGGTGGGTATGGGATATAAATATTTAGCAAGTTTTTTTTCCCAAACCCAGCCTAAAAATTCTTTTTTTTTTAAAGTTTTACTATGATCAGACTAGTTAAATACAGTGTATAACTTCCAACCCCCTAGTGCATATTGATGATAGTTGTAATAACCATTTGAACCTGATGTGCTGACTCATTCTCACTGGCCTGAAAGCTGGTATGTTTAGGTGGCTTCTTGGTCTGTGAGGTGGATGTTTTTAATGAAGAGATGATGAAAACCAGACTAGAGAGTTAATCACAGCTTTGAGTTTTGCTTTATTATTCATTCAAGGTATGTGATGTTTGAGTTTTCAAAAATGTAGTTAATGATGACCAATGGTGGTGGGTTCATCAATCCATCAAGCATTTTTATTAGAAAGACTTCATAGTCATATTTGTTTTTAGTTGTAGGAGGTTTCAGTGGCTGAAACTCAGTTTCATTATGAAGTGAGCAAATACTAATCTTAACTTAATCACAAAGAGAAAATTTGAAGGTATTTTCCCGTCACTGTTTCCAGTGCTTCACATACTGTGTATCTCAAATCTCATCTTAAACATGGTTTAAAGGCAATTTGGCCAAGTGATTTCTAAAATATGTTCCTAATTCATGCATTGACAACGTGTGTGCTCAATCTCTCACTCATGTCTGACTCTTTGCAATGCCATGGACTGTATGTAACCCGCCAGGCTTCTCTGTCCATGGAAGTTTCTAAGCAAGAATACTGGAGTCCATTGCCATTTCCTCCTCCAAGGAATCTTGCTGACCCAGGCATCTCTTGCATTGGCAGGTGAATTCTTTACAACTAGCACCACCTGGGAAGCCCCTGCATTGACAGTAGACATCACCATTTGTAGACATTATAGCCTAAGCTGATCACCTAAAAGAAAGCAAAACTGTGGTATACCAGAAATTTCTGTTAGAAGTGGTTCTTGATCATCATGAGTGTATTTTGACTGTGGTCTTTCTCTTCTGGAAAACATTTTCTACCTTAAAGCCATATCATTGCTGTTCCATAGTGTGATCCTGCTTTCTCCAGGAGATGTCCTGAAGTTAAGTTTCTATGCTTAGAGTGTAAGAGTTTCCTCCTAACAGTTGGATGCTATTGCTCTCTCAACCTCACTCTTGAAATGTCGTAACTTGTGCAGTTCTTTAACCAGAATCATAGTTACCTCTTCCTGATTCTGCCTGCCCCTTTCTGAGACATATTGTCGTTCTGAGTGTTCTCATATAAAAGCCTGGTCAGCATTGATGATGCAGACTAGAGCAGCAGAAATTTTTTCCTTTATTTTTAACTTTGAACTTTTTGTTTTGTATTGGGGTGTAGCAGATTAACAATGTTGTGATAGTTTCAGGTGAAAATTGAAGGGACTCAGCCATGCATATACATGTATCCATTCTCCCCCAAACCCCACTCCCATTCAGGCTGGTGCATAACATTGAGCAGAATTCCCTGTACTATACAATAGGTCTTTGTTGGTCATCCATTTTAAATATAGCAGTGTGCACATGTCCATCCCTAACTCCCTAACTATCCATTCCCCTGGCAAACATAAGTCCATTTTCTAAGTCAAAAGCTTTTTTGTTTTTGTTTTTGTTTTTTGACACCAAAGGGAATGGACTGTAATCACTTCATGCTCTGTCTAGCCTTACACCTCCACATGATTCAAAACAGAAGGAGGTGGGTGCTTCCTGAGCACTTGGATTACATTATTTATCATGAAGCCGAACAAAAGCAACAATATCCCAAGTAGTATTAGGAAGAAAGCTTCCTTTTACAAACTTCAAGAAATCCCAACTCTGGTTTGCTACAAGTCTAGTTAAAACAGAGCAGTCCATACTCCTCCCTGTTCCTGCCTTCCTCTTTTTTACTACAATAGAGATGTCATGTCTAACGATATCTCAGAAAATAATGTAATCCTTTGTTCAAAGTTGAAGCATCCCAGTTTAACTTTACTGAAAACTTTCTGGTCCTAATGCTCTAGGTACATCAGAATAAAAACAGAATCTACTTAGAGTGATGAAAGTGTGGGGGAGTAACTGTTCTTCCTTAAATTTGACACTGGAAGCACAGTACACTCTGTTAGGTATTTTTCTAGTCACTCTCCTGAGTGACTTGACTCATAATTCCATCCCTGCATGTGTCTTTGAAATGCAACTGATACCCTGACAGACAGTGTTCTGAAAGTCCAGGTGATTTTGCTGGGGTGAGGGGTGGGTATCTTGTTCGCTATGTATCCCTGTCGTCTGAATTCAAAGAATATTTTTTTACAGTTCCAAATTTAAAAAATTTTTTAATGTTTCAAGGTTTATCCATGCAACCGCCATAGGTTCTAACCAATTCACGTGCCAAATTTTGAAGGGTGATCCCATTTTATATATAAGGATCCCATCCTTATATTCAAAGAGATATCTTTGCTTAAACTGCTTCTCTCACCCAAACCAAGAAAATGCCAAGAAAACATTTAGTAAGTTGTAACTCAACCCTTAACATATGTCAAGTCTTAGGACAAGGCTTTTCAGTCATCAAAGAACAAATTTATAGATAGTAAAATTGCTGTGACCCATGATATTACCATTTTGTCATAAAATTATTTGAAAGTTGGCCATTGATACAATGAAAATAGTCTGTTGCCTGACCTAGCTGTATTACATAAAGTCCTTTGGATCTATGAGCTGCTTTTTAAAAAATATTCATCTGTTTCTTCTCCTTCCTGTCTTTCTTTATATTTTCTCCTACCACTTAAATTACTGTTTAAAATTTAGATGCTGTCTTTCAAATAATAAAGAAATCTAAAAAATATGAAGAAAAATGAACATAGCTCATTAGGAGGAAAATAAATGAGGGTGGTTTCTTTTTATGTAAAGCATGGGTTTCATTTTACACAGCTATGCCTATGGAGTCAGATAGGGAGGTTTCCCTTCTTCCATTTTAACATGGGTAGCAGTGGCAGCTGAAGAAGGCAATGGCACCCCACTCCAGTGTTCTTGCCTGGAGAATCCCAGGGACGGGGGAACCTGGTGGGCTGCCATCTATGGGGTCGCACCGAGTTGGACACAACTGAAGCGACTTAGCAGCAGCAGCAGCAACAGCAGCAGTGGCAGCTTGCAGGAAGAAGCTCTGTGTTTAGCACACCATCGCTCCTGAAAGGCACTGTTCTGATTCTGTGGTTCATCAACATCTAATTCCCAAGGAAAATGTTTGTTGCTCAGTTGTGTCCAACTCTTTGCAACCCCATGGACTGTAGCCTGCCAGGTCCTCTGTCCATAGAATTCTCCAGGCAAGAATACTGGAGTGGGTTGCCATTCTCTTCTACAGGGGATCTTCCCGACGTAGGGATTGAACCCATGTCTCCTGCGCTGGCAGACGGATTCTTTATCATCTGAGCCACTGGGGAAGCCAGATTTGAATGGTAGGGACGTCTGTACCAGCCACACAGATGAAATTGAACTCTGAATGTTGCCAGATATCACCTCCTCTCTGCCAGGCCTGGTTGCCTAATTCTAAGCCATTGACTTCTGTGTCCTAGAAGAAGGTCTTTTCACCTTCACAATTCCTTACCTGAACTTTCACCTCTTAACTTAGTGCTAAAAAAAAAAAAAAGTACTAAAATCTGCTGAACCCTATAAAGTAGCTTTTAGTAGTGAATCTTAAGTATGTATCAAAAAGACAATACTTTGGCCACCAGATGCAAAGAGGCAACTCATTAGAAAAGAGCCTGATGCTGGGAAAGACTGAGGTCAGGAGGAGAAGGGGGAGACAGAGGACGAGATGGTTGGATGGCATCATGGACTCAATGGACATGAGTTTGAGCAAGCTCCAGGAGATGGTAAAAGACAGGGAAGTCTGACATGATGCTGCCCATGGGGTCGCAAGGAGTCGGACACAGCTAAGCAACTGAACAACAAAAATTGCATATTAGGATGTTTCAGCAGAATAAAATAATGAAGAAATGGAAGTGCTGCTGTTGTACTTGGCCATGTGGGAGCAGTAGCTCTGATTTGCGTCCGGGTCTTAATTTGTGACCGTGACTGGGTGACGATACTGAGGGTGAGTGCCATTGAGGAAACTTCACTGTTCATGGTTGTGCTGGAGATGAGACACTGCACTGGGGGAGCCACAGTCAAGGAGGCAGACACAGGAGTGAAGGTAAAGCATGCAGCAGGGCCTTCGTTGTACTGAGATTTCTGCAGGCAAGGCCAGGCAGGGCAGGGGAAGCAACTTGGTGATGTCCGTGTGCAGAATCTTCTCTTGTGTTGTTGGAAGAGGGTGTTTGCTATGACCAGTGCATTCTCCTAGCAAAACTATTAGCCTTTGCCCTGCTTCATTCCATACCCCAAGGCCAGATTTGCCTGTTACTCCAGGTGTTTCTTGACTTCCTACTCTTGCATCCCAGTCCCCTATAATGAAAAGGACATCTTGTTTGTGTGTTAGTTCTGAAAGGCCTTGTAGGTCTTCATAGAACCATTCAACTTCAGCTTTTTGAGCGTTACTGGTCGGGGCATAGACTTGGATTACCATGATATTGAATGGTTTGCCTTAGAAACGAACACAGATCATTCTGTCATTTTTGAGATTGCATCCAAGGACTGCATTCGGACTCTTGTTGACCATGATGGCTACTCCATTTTTTCTAAGGGATTCCTGCCCACAGTAGTAGATATAATGGTCAACTGAGTTAAATTCACCCATTCCAGTCCATCTTAGTTCGCTGATTCCTAGAATGTCAACGTTCACTCTTGCCATCTCCTGTTTGACCACTTCCAATTTGCCTTGATTCAAGGACCTAACATTCCAGGTTCCTGTGCAATATTGCTCTTTACAGCAGCGGACCTTGCTTCCATCACCAGTCTCATCCACAACTGGGTATTGTTTTTGCTTTGGCTCCATCCCTTCATTCTTTCTGGAGTTATTTCTCCACTGATCTCCAGTACCATATTGGGCACCTACTGACCTGAGGAGTTCATCTTTCAGTATCCTATCATTTTGCCTTCTCATACTGTTCATGGGGTTCTTAAGGCAAGAATACTGAAGAGGTTTGCCATTCCCTTCTCCAGTGGACCACATTCTGTCAGAACACTCCACCATGACCCGGCTGTCTTGGGTGGCCCCACACAGAATGGCCTAGTTTCATTGAGTTAGACAAGGCTGTGGTCCGTGCGATCAGATTGGCTAGTTTTCTGTGATTGTGGTTTTAGTCTGTCTGCCCTCTGATGCCCTCTCTCAGCACCTACTGTCTTAATGGGGTTTCTCTTACCTTGGGTGTGAGGTATCTCCTCTCGGCTGCCCCCTTCCGACCTTGGACGTGGGGTAGCTCCTCTCGGCCACCACTGCTTACCTTGAACATGGGGTATCTCCTCTTGGCTGCTGCTTCTGACCTTGGACATGGGGTATCTCCTCTCAGCCACTGCCCCTGACCTTGGACGTGCGGCTCCTCTCGGTCACTGCCCCAACCTTGGACGTGGGGTAGCTCCTCTCGGCTGTTGCCCCTAACCTTGGACATGGGGTAGCTCCTCTCAACTGCTTGCTGCTCCAATTTGCCTTGATTCATGGACCCAACCTTCCAGGTTCCTATGCAGTATTGCTCTTTATAGCATCAGACTTTCCTTCCATCACCAGTCACATCCACAACTGGGGGGTGTTTTTCCTTTAGCTCCATCCCTTCATTCTTTCTGGAGTTATTTCTCCACTGATCTCCAGTAGCATATTGGGCATCTGCCAACCAGGGGCTTCCCTGGTGGCTTAGACGGTAAAGCGTCTGTCTGCAGTGTGGGAGACCCAGGTTTGATCCTTGGGTTGGGAAGATCCCCTGGAGAAGGAAATGGCAACCCACTCCAGTACTCTTGCCTGGAAAATTCCATGGACTGAGGAGCCTGGTAGGCTACAGTCCATGGGGTCGCAATGAGTTGGACACGACTGAGCGACTTCACTTCACTTCACTTCACTGACCTGGGGAGTTCATCTTTCAGTGTCCTGTCTTTTTGCCTTTTCATACTTTTCATGCGGTTCTCAAGGCAAGCATACTGAAGTGGTTTGCCATTCCCTTCTCCAGTGGACCACGTTCTGTCAGACCTCTCCACCATGCCCCATCCATTGTGGGTGGCCCCACACGGCATGGCTCACAGTTTAATTGAGTTAGACAAGACTGTGGTCTGTGTGACTGAATTGGTTAGTTTTCTATGACTGTGGTTCTCTGTCCACCCTCTGAGGGAGAAGGACAAGAGGCTTATGGAAGCCTCCCAGTGGGAGAGACTGACTGAGGGGGAAACTGGGTCTTGTTCTGCTGGGCGGGGCCATGCTCAGTAAATCTTTAATCCAACTTTCTGTTGAAGGGCGGGGCTGTGTTCCCTCCCTGTTATTTGACCTGAGGCCAAACTATGGTGGAGGTAATGAAGATAATGGAGACCTCCTTCAAAAGGTCCCATGCACGCACTGCTACACTCACTGCCCCGACCCTGCAGCAGGCCAACACTGACCCATGCTTCTACCAGAGACTCCTGGACACTCCCGGGCAAGTCTGGGTCAGTCTCTTATGAGGTCACTGCTCCTTTCTCCTGGGTCCTGGTGCACAAGGTTCTGTTTGTGCCTCCAAGAGTCTGTTTCCCAGTCCTGTGTAAGTTCTGGTGGCTCTATGGTGGGGTTAATGGTGCCCTTCTCCAAGAGGGCTTATGCCATACTCAAGTCTGCTGCACCCATAGCCCCTGTCACTGCGGCAGGCCACTGCTGACCCGTACCTTCTCAGGAGACACCCAAACACAGTTCTGGCTCAGTCTCTGGGTCCTAGTGTGCACAAGGTTATATCTGAGCCCTCTGAGCATCTCTGGCAGGTATGGGGTTTGATTCTGAACGTGATTTCGCCCCTCCTACTGTCTTGCTGGGGCTTCTCCTTTGCCCTTGTACGTGGGATATTTCCTCAAAGTCACTCCAGCACCGGTGCAGCTGCTGGTCCAGCGCCTACCGTCTTGCTGAGGCTTCTCTGCCCATGGACATGGGGTATCTCCTCACAGTTGCTCCAGCGCCAAGCAGCAGACGTGGGGTATCTTCCTCACAGGAAGTTGATAATTGGGACATCCAAGGGCAGGGGGATTTATTAAACATTCCTTTTAAGATTTGAAAAGTCATGCCATCTGAATCTTCCCAGAAGATAAGGTTAACTGCAGTAGTTTTTTAACAAGGTATATAAAGGTTGGTTCATAAGGGGAAAGTTTGGGATCCAGTTGTGACCGTTACCTGCCAGTCCTGGAAAACCTTGCAGTTGGTTTTGAGCTTTAGGGCATTCAGGATTCAGTGAATTTGTCTAAATGCAGTCCTTGTTTTAAGATTAAATGTCTTAAATAGTGAACTTGAGTGTGAACTGCCAGGGTCCAGCCTCAGCAGGATCCAGGGGTACCCTCAGGATGAACGGCATTGGCAAGAGAAAGAGAGAGAGAGACCAGACTGGGGTGTGCAGCAGGGTCTGGTGTTGCTTTATTTTTTACTGTAGCCTTTATACCCTAAGTTAGTACATTTTTTTAAGGGGCGGTGAAAGATAAGCATACAAAGTTAGCTTAACATTACGTCAGTTTGCCCTTTATGAGACCTGGGTGTTTTCTGCATATTTCTTTGCTTATGAGAGTCTTTTTCCATAGTAGATTTGTGTACATTATCTTCTGGCCTTGGGGCCCATTGCCAGTTTATGACCTAGGTGAATGCAAGGCTGTTTTCCATAGTCTATTTTTTATTGTTCTATTTTGCCTTGAGCTTAGCAGAAAACAGAAAAGTGGCAGTCTCATGGTACAGCAGGTTGCAACATAGTAGAAATACAATCCTGTTAACACAAAGGTCAGTCTTTTTGCAGAAGTTTTCAGCTAAATTTTTCTAAAAAGTTTACCACGCAAAGACTCTGCAGCTCTGGTGAGGCAGCCCCTGTTTAGCATTCCTGGTTAAAATTAACAATTATCTTATTGTTTCCACACTAGGGCTAAACTCTTATTTTTCTAAATCCTTAACTATATTAACAATAGTTTCCACTGCGCAACCTCAGCACATTAAGAGCAAAAACACAGCAAGTAAGTGTTGACCCAATAACCACTTTTAGAATAATATTTTATGTTCTCTAATAGGGCTTCCTCACCCCCCGAAGGGCTCTCTGCCTATTAGGGCCTTTTGTGTGATCAGGTTCTTTATGCTGTTTATGATTAAGGTGTTGTGAGCAGTCGTGTGCATTAGTACGCATTTGCCAAGCAGGCTAGAATGCCAGCAAAGGGGTCTAAATTGAAACACTCCTTTTATCCTGGATAATCTTATAGATCAGCCTTTAAAGTTTGTGAGAAATCAGAAGGGCTGCAGTGACCCTCTGGGGCATTACCCTCCAGGTGTATTGCTGTCCTTCCCAAGTAAGGGTGAAAAGATACTGTCTGACTTTATCTACTGGGGTCCTATAGAAAGCATTACATAAATCAGTCACAGAAAAACTATTGTTGTCAGTAGGGATGAAAACTGATAAAGTGTGGGGCTGGGGACAGAAGTATCATAATCAACAATATTGATTATGTCTCAGAGATCCTGGATGAACCTGCATCGCTGGCTATTTGGTTTCTTCACAGGTGAAATAGGAGTGTTGTGGAGGATGGTGCAATGGATAATGAGACCCTGGGCTTTAGAGTCTCATATTCCTGAATTAATGTCTTTAAAGGGCCTCTTTATTTATAAGATACTAACTAATTCTGGGGAAAGGTTTTGAGGGATCTATTTGGATCTCCATAGGAGGTGTACTGTGGATTCTGCCAATATCATTTGAGGATTTTGTCCATAAGGAGGGTGGTAGCTGATCCAATAGGGATATGTGATTAGTGTTCTTGGAATTGGCCATCAGAGACAGAGCAAATAAAAGATATTGAAGGGACATTTGATTCACCTAATTGGCTATTTCTGTTGCTGCTGTCAAGTTTTAGAATTATTTCCACCTTTTGGGAGAAGAATATTCTGTTATACTTTTCTTAAATCTCAACCAGATAAATGAATAAGAGCAGAGGAGCTAAGGAGAAAAGGATGGGTATCTCCAAAAGGGCCTAAGCAAAGGGGGTAAATTTAGAGCTAGAAAGCTGCTGAGGTTTTTTAGAGACCCAAATATCTGAACTGTTTAGAACTCTGAAGCAGGGACTGTTGAATGGTAATGGGTTGAGCACTGAGAGTGTAGCTCTGGTGTCAGTAGGGACACAAAGAATCTTTCCAAGTCTGGAGAGTGGTGTTTCTCCAAGACAGTCGGGAGAAGGATTGGGAAGAGCCCCTGGAGTCTTTCAGGAGACCTGTCACTGGGGACAGGAGAACGTTGAAGAGGCTGTCTGAAGGGCTGTTATCTGGATCACTTAAACTTGGAGCAGTATTTCTTTCAAGGTCCTGGCTTTTTGCAGTAATGACAGAGACCCCTTGCAGAACATTTGGTCCTGTTCAAAACATCCCTTGGGCAAACTACAGGAAATAATGAGGGATAGGGAGGCCTGGTGTGCTGCAGTCCATGGGGCTGCAAAGAGTCAGATATGACTTAGCAACTAAACGTCAACAACAAAATATCCCTTGAGACATTTGGTCTATGATTTGTTAAATAATGCAAACATTTCACTTTGTTAAAGTTTTATTATTTTTATTACAGTTGATGAATTTTGGATTTCACATTTATTCTGGTTCTTCCTCGTCATGTAGCTCAGCAGGGTTATTCTAAAGTGGATGAACAGTTGCTGTTCTCATGCACATATTGACCTGATTATTGGCTTTATGTTAGTTATATATGTTAAAAATGTTGGTTATATGAACTTGATTTTGTTGGGATCATTATGAAGTTCATGCCCGTATTTGAGTGTGACCACCAAAAGTCTGGGTGATGATTTGTTTCATTGCTTTGCTGTTCGTCTTTTCAACTTCAGTAAATCTCTACATTGAAGGATGATGCACTGCCACCAGCTTTTGAAATGTGCTTTGCCAGCCTTCCACTGTGTCATTTATCCTTTGATCACCATTCAGTCCTGATGTATAAACATTGCAAGTTTCTAGTGGAAATCCTGGAGCTCTGGTTTTCTGTCTCTGCCATGCCTTCCACAAATGTACACTCTTTCAACATAATTCATTCAGTCACTGACATTTTCTTCTGCCTTCTCCACAGTATACTCAAAGGTTCATTCACATCTTCTAAAGGCATAAGTGGAAGTTGCCAATCACCTACAGGTGTGTCTTTCTGTTGTCATGTATTCTTGTGTTAGACCCAAAGAAGATACTTTTTACCAACATGATTGTGACAGTGAAACAAGCATCCTTTTATTTCTGTATTTGGTAGGAGTCATCTAGTGACATTTATATTCACAATCTTGAGATCTGTCGTGCACAATAAAGGGTTAATGTTGTGATTTCTTTCCCATGCAAATGCAGGTAGCCTCTAGTTGTCTTAAACTTCATTCAGAATAATTTTGTTAGATGGTATTATGACAGCTGTCATATCAGCATGCGTTTAAAAAAGAGTATTAAAATTAGTGAATTTCTGTGTGCGTGCTAAGTCCCTTCAGTCGTGTCTGACTCTCT